CTTTGGGTATTTTCCCTCATCCCTAAGGTTCCATATAGAGTTTCCTTATGTCTTAAGTTATTATTTTTTTGATAGAAAAATGTTCATGATTGGCCGGGCGCGGTGGCTCAAGCCTGTAATCCCAGCACTTTGGGAGGCCGAGCCGAGTGGATCACGGGGTCCAGAGATCGAAACCATCCTGGTCAACATGGTGAAACCCCGTCTCTACTAAAAATACTAAAAATTAGCTGGGCATAGTGGCACGTGTCTGTAATCCCAGTTACTCAGGAGGCTGAGGCAGGAGAATTGCCTGAACCCAGGAGGCGGAGGTTGCGGTGAGCCTAGATCGTGCCATTGCACTCCAGCCTGGGTAACAAGAGCGAAACTCCGCCTCAAAAAAAAAAAAAAAAACCGGGCGCGGTGGCTCAAGCCTGTAATCCCAGCACTTTGGGAGGCTGAGGCGGGTGGATCACGAGGTCGAGAGATCGAGACCATCCTGGTCAACATGGTGAAACCCCGTCTCTACTAAAAATACAAAAAATTAGCTGGGCATGGTGGCGCGTGCCTATAATCCCAGCTACTCAGGAGGCTGAGGCAGGAGAATTGCCTGAACCCGGGAGGCGGAGGTTGCGGTGAGCCGAGATCGCGCCATTGCACTCCAGCCTGGGTAACAAGAGCGAAACTCCGTCTCAAAAAAAAAAAAAAAGAAAAATGTTCATGATCATTAAGACTAGATTACAAAACAATGCATATACTATGATGTAATTTTTAATAAAAAAATAAAATGTATGTAAATGATGTTGCAGAAAGCAAAAAAAATTTTTAAATAAAAAAATAGGCGCCGGGCGTGGTGGCTCAAGCCTGTAATCCCAGCACTTTGGGAGGCCGAGGCGGGTGGATCACGAGGTCAATAGATCGAGACCATCCTGGTCAACATGGTGAAACCCTGTCTCTACTAAAAACACAAAAAATTAGCTGGGCATGGTGGCGTGTGCCTGTAATCCCAGCTGCTCAGGAGGCTGAGGCAGGAGAATTGCCTGAACTCAGGAGGCGGAGGTTGTGGTGAGCCGAGATCGTGCCATTGCTCTCCAGCCTGGGTAACAAGAGCGAAACTCGGTCTCAAAAAAAAAAAAAAAAAAAAAAAAAAAAAAAAAATCAAAAACAGGCTGGAAGCAGGGCTCACACCTGTCATCCCAGCACTTTGGGAGGATTGCTTGAGACCAGGAGTTCAAGACCAGCCTGGGCAACATAGTGAGACACCCCCTTCTCCAACCCTGTGTTGCCAAAAATAAAATAGCAAATTAGCCAGGCCAAGTGTCTGCCCGTACCTGTGGTCCTAGCTACTGGGGAGGCTGAGGCAGGAGGATTGCTTGAGCCTAGGAGGCAGAGGTTGCAGTGAGCCATGATAGCACCACTGCATTCTAGACTGGGCAACAGAGTGAGATCCTATTTTGAAAAATAATAATAGTAATAAAATAATAATGAATAATGTTTAGTTTTTGTTTTGTTTTGTGGGGTTTTGTTTTGTTTTTGTGACAAGGTCTCACTCAGTTGCCTAATGGTACAATCTGGGCTCACTGCAACCTCTGCCTCCCGGGTTCAAGTGATTCTCCTGCCTCAGCCTCCTGAGTGGCTGGGACGACAAGTGCATACCACCATGCCCAGTTAATTTTGTATTTTTAGTAAAGACAAGTTTTCAACATATTGGCCAGGTTGGTCTCAAACTCCTGGCCTCAAGTGATTCACCGCCTCAGCCTCCCAAAGTACTGGGATTACAGGAATGAGTTACCGTGCCTGGCCTATCTATTTGATACTTTTTATAATTAGAACAAAAAAACTGCCACACTTGTTTTACCCTTCAATTAGTCAACCTTTCCTCTCTGAGAAAGGCTGTGAATTCCAAAAGGCTGGCCATTTAACCTCCAACCAAGGGATTCTTCTATTTAGCCATCATGAATATTTCCTTCACAAATCTATTTGAACTCCTTTTGATTTTTGTTGTTGTTGTTGCTGTTTGAGACAGAGTCTCGCTCTTCTTGCCCAGGCTGGAGTGCAATGGCGCGATCTCAGCTCACTGCAACCTCTGCCTCCCAGGTTCCAGTGATTCTCCTGCCTCAGACTCCTGAGTAGCTGGGATTACAGGCGCATGCCACCATGCCCGGCTAATTTTTGTGATTTTAGTAGAGACGGGGTTTTACCATGTTGGCCAGGATGGTCTCGATCTGCTGACTTACTGATCCACCCTCTCTGGCCTCCCAAAGTGCTGGGATTACAGGTGTGAGCCACCACTCCCCGTCTGAATCTGTTCTTATTTTCAGCTTTTAGTTTTTAGGTTTTTTTGTTTGTTTGTTTTTGTTTTTTAGTTTTTTGTTGTTGTTTTTTGTTTGTTTGCTTTTGAGACGGGGTCTCACTCTGTAGCCCAGGCTGGAGTGCGGTGGTGTGACCTCGGCTTACAGCAACCTCTGCCTCCCAGGTCCCAGTTCAAGCAGTTCTGCCTCAGCCTCCCAAGTAGCTGGGATTACAGGCACGCACCACTATGCCCAGATAATTTTTGTATTTTTAGTAGAGACAGGGTTTCACCATGTTAGCAAGGTTGGTCTTGAATTCCTGACCTCGTGATTCGCCCGTCTCGGCCTCCCAAAAGGCTGAGATTACAGGCATGAGCCACCAAGCCCGGCCTCCAGCCTTTAGTTTTTATAGACAAAGTGACAGTGTGTCAAATTACAGATTACAAAGATCTAAGAAGGCAAACTTTGATCAAATTCATTGATCGTAGGTGGCTACCCGGCGATGAGGATTGCAGGGCCTGAAAAAGGACAAAAGATGACCTTTAGTAGGGGTTCCCAACCCAGAACTACAGGAAATCAAATAGCCCGCAAGAACTAGGAAAGAAAATACAGAGCTGGCCTTCGGCGCTATCATCTGTTTCCCTCACCGGGAAAGTAGCTCCAAACAGCCAATCAGCGGCGACGCTGCACGTAGACGTGCTACGCCGTCACATTAAAGCAAGATGGCTGCGCCCTACAGATTTTCTCTCGTTGCTTAAGTTTTTTTTGCCCGTCCCTCCTGTCAGGTTCAAAGTCAGATTTTCTCCCAGCATGTTCTCCTTCCGAGGCTGTGGCGGTCGGGTCGCGGCTTCCTTCACCAAGCGGCAGTTTCCGTTGCTCCGGTTGAGAAGTGACAGCGCGGAGCCCCGGTCTCCGCACTTCGACGTGATAGTCATTGGTGGAGGACATGCCGGCACTGAGGCCGCCACTGCCGCCGCTCGGTGCGGCTCTCGGACCTTGCTCCTCACGCACCGCGTGGACACGATCGGTGAGGAGCGTGGGTTCTGTGGAACTTGTGTAGGACCCAGGCTGCTTCCTTCCCGCCTCCTCGGGTCTGAAGTGGGGAACCTCATTCGCTCCCTCAAAGCTAGTGAGAATCCTGCCTTCTGTGGTTTTAGACTCGATTAGTGTCTCGCAAGAATCAGGCGGACCGGAACTCTGATTAGTCTATTCTGCAAACCAGATTGTGCTGCTGCTGACAGCAGTCCATTGTGGGAGGTTGGGGGCTGCGGTCCGTGCCTTAGGAAAGGGAGAAACTTCAAGAATACTCCCTGGTAGCTTCTTAGTTCATTGCTGCGTTTGCCTTTGACTGTGTTACTCTAGGTAAAGGGTGAATTAACATTATTAACAATCGTTTATGGCCAGGCGCAGTGGCTCACTCCATTAATCCCAGCACTTTCAAGGGCCAAGGCGGGTGGATCACCTGAGGTCAGGAGTTTGAGACCAGCTTGGCCAACATGGCGAGATTCTGAGATTCCCGCTCTACTAAAAATACAGTGATTAGCCAGGCGTGGTTGGCTAACCCACAGGTGGGCGCCTGTAATCCCAGCTACTCGGGAGGCTGAGGCAGGAGAATCACTTGAACCCCGGGGGGTGGAGGTTGCAGTGAGCTGAGATCGTGCCACTTCACTCCAGCCTGGGCGAAAGAGCATAACTCCATCTCAAAAAAAAAAAAAAATAATAAAAAGATAAATCGTTTATTAAATGGTCCTTGTGTTTTTATTTTAAAAAATATTTTTCAGAGACAGGGTCTCACTATATTGCCCAGGTTGGGGTGCAGTGGCTATTCACGGGCAGGATCATTGCCCATTACAGGCTCCGCCTTCTGGACCCAATAAGTTTTCCTGCCTGGGCCTAACGAGTAGCTGGGATTGGAGATGCGCAGCACCCTTCCCAGCCTGATCTTCGTGGTTCTGTTAAAATTTTGTGACGCTCTTTTGAAGAACCATGCTACTTTTTGCTTCCTATATTCCTTCTGGGTGTCGTCCCTGGATTTTGTGCTTAGTACTGGGACAGTACTTTCTTTGCTCTAATGGGTAATGGTTGTATGGCCATTCTGTAGCATCATGATAGATATTGGTGAAAACATCAGCTTGTGAATTATGTATGCTTCTGTCTATCCTCCTGCCTTTTGCTTAGGAGTGAGCAGTAATTAGAATATGTACTTGTTTTGTAAAAGTTGTGAATGAATCACGTGTTTATTTTCAAAGTCTTTCTTTAAAATTACCATTTAGCTCATAACTGTGAAGAAATGTATACTATTAAATGCGGTTTTGTGGGTGGGGGACAGGAGGCTGTATGATTTCTCAAAATATACTTTTCTCATTATACATTGCAGTGTGGGTTTTTTGTTTTGTTTTGTTTTGTTTTGTTTTGTTTGAGATGGAGTTTTGCTGTTGTTATCAGGCTAGAGTGCAGTGGTGGCACGATCTCTGCTCACTGCAACCTCTGCCTCCTGGGTTCAAGCAATTATCCTGCCTCAATCTCCCTAGTCACTGGAATTATAGGTGCCACGCCCGGCTAATTGTTTGTATTTTTTTTTAGTAGAGATGAGGTTTCATCGTGTTGGCCAGGCTGGTCTCAAACTCCTGACCTCAGGTGATCCACCCACCTGGGCCTCCCAAAGTGCTGGAGTAAAAGGCTTGGGCCACCACACTCAGCCTGTTACTTACATTTTTACAAAATAAAGACCTAGTGCTCACTTTAGCAACATATATACTAAAATTGAAATGATACAGAGATTATCATGGCCCTCTCACAAGGATGACGCACAAATTTGTGAAGCGTTCCATATTTTAGAAAAATAATAATAAAGACCTAGGTCAGGGTTGGTTGCTAACACTTGTGATCCCAGCACTTCGGGAGCTCGGGAGTCTTTTTAACTGAAAGAAAGAAGGAGGAAAATAATCTACCACAGCTGTCATTCCTGTTTTTACAGTAGAGAGACTGAGGTATATTAGGTAACTTGCCATGATCACAGAGCTCATAAGTGGTAGGTCTAGAAACTGAGCCAGATCTCTCTCTTTCTTTCTTTATTCTTATTTATTTATTTATTTATTTTTTGAGACAGAGTCTTGCTCTGACTTCAGTCTGCCATGCAGTGGTTCGATCTCGTCTCACTGCAACCTCCGACTCACTGGTTCAAGGGATTCTCCTGCCTCAGCTTCCCAAGTAGCTGGGACTACAGGCACACACCGCCATGCCCAGCTAATTTTTGTATTTTTAGTAGAGACAGGGTTTCACCATGTTGGCCAGGATGGTCTCGATTTCCTGATCTCATGATCCAGCTGCCTCCCAAAGTGCTGGGATTACAGGCATGAGCCACTGCCCCCAGCCAAACCAGATCTCTTTCACACACACTCCTCATAATGACACAGTTCATGCTGATAATCACAGTGCTATCCAGCCTCACTGTGGAGACCATTAAAATTTTTGGAGGCTTTGATGGTGGTGGCAGTGGATATGTGGTTGTAGACCCAGCTTGCCCATCACTCCACCTCCCATAAAAACCTTTGAGGTAACCACATGGGATTAGACCTCCAAGTAAGACTGGGTAAATGTAAGAGGAAGGTTATTTGCAAAGGTATATGCCACAACTGAAAAAAAAATAATTAAATAAATAAATAAATAAATAAAAGAGACGAGGAAGGTATCCAATATGGTCTCCATTTTCAAGAAATTTGTAATTTCATTATATTTAATTCTGCAAAGTAAGTGCAAAAAGAAAATATTAGATAGCATTTATGGAAGACATAATTGCTTGTAACTGAACCAGTGCCAAGGGGCTTGTTTGTTTGTTTTTGTTTGTTTTTTCTTTTTTGAGATGGAGTCTCTCTCTGTTGCCCAGACTGTAGTACAATGGCGGGATCTCGGCTCACTACAACCTCCGCCTGGTGGATTCAAGCGATTCTCCTGCCTCAGCCTCCCGAGTAGCTGGGATTACAGGCACACCCTGCTATGCCTGGCTAATTTTTGTGTATTTTAGTAGAGATGAGGTTTCACCATGTTGCCCAGGCTGGTCTCAAACTCCTGATCTCAGGCAATCCTCCTGCCTCGGCCTCCCAGCATGCTAGGATTATAGGCATGAACCACCACGCCCAGCCCTGGTTTTTTGTTGTTTGTTTGTTTGTTTTTTGTCCTTGTTTATGTTGAAGCACTAGGGACTTCTTAGAAGTGTGCTTGATTTAGTAGATTCCTCTGGTGTTGTCTCAAAAAAGAACAAGTAAATAAATAAAATGAATTGTACTTGATTTAGGAAAGTTTCATGGGGTAAGGATTATATATTTGAAAGGAAAAAGCAACCTAGTGAAACTAAAAATATGCATCAAGGAAAAGATTCAAAAGGAAGTTCAGGCTGGGCAAGGTGGCTTAAAACCTGTAATACCAGCACTTTGGAAGGCCAAGGTGGGGAGATCATCCGAGGTCAGGAGTTTGAGACCAGCCTGATCAACATGGTGAAACCCATCTCTATCAAAAATTCAAAAATTAGCCAGGTGTGGTGGCAGGCACCTGTAATCCCAGCTATCAGGAGGCTGAGGTCGGAGAATTGCTTGTACCCGAGAGGCAGAGGTTGCAGTGAGCTGAGATTGCACCATTGCACTGGGTAACAGAGTCGGACTTCAGTTCAAAAAACACGAAAGAAAATTCAGGCAGTGGTTTGTCTTCCAGGTTGCCATGGACATTTTTGCATCCCATTGGGACTTTGAAATTTTCTTTGTAACATATCTTTCATTTTTTTTTTTTTTTGGTGTGTGTGTGTGTGTGTGTGTGTGTGTGTGTGTGCAACAGCTATTTATTCACCTGGGTGTAGGTGGGCTGAGGCCAAAAATGGTGTTAGCCTTGTGTGTGTGTGTGTGTGTGTGTGTGTGTGTTTGCAACAGCTATTTATTCACCTGGGTGCAGGTGGGCTGAGGCCGAAAAGGGTGTCAGCCTTGTGTGTGTGTGTGCAACATAGCTGTTTATTTACCTGGGTGCAGGTGATCATTCATGTTTTCTATTTTTTATCATATAAGAAGACTATAGTCACCTGTACAAATATTTCCTTATTAAAACTTACTATGTACCAGGTGCTTATGTATTTATTTTGTTTATGTCTGTTCTCTTTAGGTCAGATGTCATGCAATCCTTCCTTTGGTGGCATTGGAAAGGGGCATTTAATGAGGGAAGTAGATGCCTTGGATGGCCTGTGTTCTCGCATCTGTGACCAGTCTGGTGTACATTACAAAGTATTAAATCGGTGTAAGGGACCAGCTGTGTGGGGTCTGAGAGCTCAGATTGATAGAAAACTCTATAAACAGAACATGCAGGTAAGAATAGGGCATGAGCACAGGAAAGATTATAGTGATTGTTTAACTACCATGTTTCAACTGGCATTTTCTTTTGACAGAAAGAAATCCTGAGTACACCACTGCTTACTGTTCAGGAGGGAGCTGTAGAAGATCTTATTCTTACAGAACCAGAGCCTGAACACACTGGGAAATGCCGTGTCAGTGGTGTTGTTTTGGGTGTGTATTGGTTATAGATGATATGTGATAACAGCATATCAAATTACACGTGAGAAATTTATTTTAGAGCAAAGTATGGAGATATTTTGCTTATTCAAGGGAATTGTTGCATTTTCTCTTCCTGGATGAGGAAAACTATATAAATAAATACCATTTCTTTTTTTCATCTTGGCATTTATGATGCTCAGTCAAATTCTTTACTCATCAGTACTGGGTTCCGTCTTAGTGTAGAACTTTATAATATGCACATTTATGTCTCCCTCTCTCCCCATCTTTCTATTGTAATTTCTATTTTATTCTGGTTCTGACTTCAAATTTTTTTAAATTTATATTTTAACACCTTATGTATATTTCTTTCTTTTTTTTTTTTTTTTTGAGGCGGAGTTTCGCTCTTGTTACCCAGGCTGGAGTGCAATGGCGCGATCTTGGCTCACCACAACCTCCGCCTCCTGGGTTCAGGCAATTCTCCCGCCTCAGCCTCCTGAGTAGCTGGGATTACAGGCACGCGCCACCATACCCAGCTAATGCTTTGTATTTTTAGTAGAGATGGGGTTTCACCACATTGACCAGGATGGTCTCGATCTCTTGACCTCATGATCCACCCACCTCGGCCTCCCAAAGTGCTGGGATTACAGGCTTGAGCCACCGCGCCCGGCCCACCTTATGTATATTTCTATGTAAAAGAGTTATATATTTAGTTGGTTCGTTTTTTTTTTTTTTTTTTTTTTTTGAGACGGAGTTTCGCTCTTGTTACCCAGGCTGGAGTGCAATGGCGCGATCTCGGCTCACCGCAACCTCCGCCTCCTGGGTTCAGGCAATTCTCCTGCCTCAGCCTCCTGAGTAGCTGGAATTACAGGCACGTGCCACCATGCCCAGCTAATTTTTTGTATTTTTAGTAGAGACGGAGTTTCACCATGTTGACCAGGATGGTCTCGATCTCTTGACCTCATGATCCACCCGCCTCGGCCTCCCAAAGTGCTGGGATTACAGGCTTGAGCCACCGCGCCGGGCCCTTTTTTTTTTTTTTGTGACGGAGTTTCGCTCTTGTTACCCAAGCTGGAATGCAATGGCACAATCTTGGCACACCACAACCTCCGCCTCCTGGGTTCAAGCAATTCTCCTGCCTCAGCCTCCTGAGTAGCTGGGACTACAGGCGTGTGCCACCATGCCCAGCTAATTTTTGTATTTTTAGTAGAGACGGGGTTTCACCATGTTGACCAGAATGGTCTCGATCTCTTGACCTCGTGATCCACCCGCCTCGGCCTCCCAAAGTTCTGGGATTACAGGCGTGAGCCACCGCATCCAGCCTTAGTTTTTTTTTTTTTTTTTTTAATCAAAGTAACTCATGCATATAATTTTTTAAAAAAATTTAAAGAATCTGGGCATGGTGGCTCATGCCTGTAATCCTAGCACTTTGGGAGGTCAAGGCAGGTGGATTGCTTGAGCCCAGGAGTTTGGGACCAGCCTTGGCAAGAGGTCGAAATCCCATGTCTACAAAAAAAATACAAAAATTATCCAGCCATGGTAGCAGGTGCCTGTCATCTCAGGCTCAAGAAACTGAAGTGGGAGGTCAAGACTTCAGTAAACTGAGATTATGCCACTGCACTCTAGCCTGGGCAACAGAGCGAGAGCCAGTGTCAAAAATACATAAATAAATAAATGAAATTTAGAAATGTATGTGTAAAAACAACCATCTCCTTCCCTGGAGACAGCCACTTCAACATTTTTTTTTTTTTTAAAGACAGAGTCTCGCTCTGTCTCCCAGGCTGGAGTGCAGTGGCACGATCTTGGCTTACTGCAACCTCTACCTCCTGGGTTCAAGTGATTCACCTGCCTCAGCCTCCCGAGTAGCTAGGGCTACAGGTGCAGGCCACCACACCAGGCTAGTATTTTGTATTTTTATTAGAGACATAGTTTCACTATATTGGCCAGGCTGGTCTCGATATCCTGACCTCTTGATCTGCCTGCCTCGGCCTCCCAAAGTGTTGGGATTACAGGCATGAGCCACCATGAATGGCCCACTTCAACTTTTTTAGTTTTCACTTATAGTATATACTTCCCTATTTCTAAATAACAGGCTTATATTTTTACTTCCTAATTTATAGTTCTAGACATTATCTATTAACAGTTTTTGAAACAGTCTCAGCTGGCCAGGCTGGAATGCAGTGTGGCACAATCTCGGCTCACTCCAACCTCCTCCTCCCAGGTTCAAGGGATTCTCCTGCCTCAGCCTCTTGAGTAGTTGGGATTACAGGCATCTGCCACCACACCCAGCTAATTGTTTGTATTTTTAG